GTAATTAATTATAGCTGCTCAGATGAGCTGCCAGATTTGGAGGAGTCAAGAAGGAAGATTGTATGTTGTTTGGATGTCTTTAGATGTCAAGAAGGAAGATTGTGTGTTGTTTGGATGTCTTTAGATGTGTTCCTCCGAAGCGATGGCAGCTCTGGGAACTAACTTTCCAGTTGAAGGATGTGAGAGTTCTTCCTCTTTCTGCAAGATCCAGTCTTGGCTTATTGAGCAGTGAATTCCTTTCTGATCCCACTCACCTATTCCCGAGAGCAAAAAGGAAGTCAGTATTTGCTTTTCCAGCAAGGTCACGGATCACCTGACGAAGTCCTTTAACAGCTGCAAAACATTCGCGGCTGTGCTGAAGGCACGAGCTATCAGCTCCGGCCCTGCAGCCCAAACCTGGCTTTCTGGGAAGGAGACGAGTCCTCCCTGCTGTGGGCTATGCAGCGGGAGGATGCAAGGGAAGGTAATGTGGGCACAGTGTTCCTCCCGACTGTTTTCTCTTCTTCGTGAAGCTCCAGATTCAGCTGCTGCAATGCAGGCGAAAATGACAGACACTTGCAAAAAACGTGGGAATGGAGTTAATGAGATTGTGTTAATGTGTCATTTGTTGAGCAGGAGTTATCTCTTTGTTTCCCGGGTTGGCAGGAAGTGAGCCCGCTGGAGAACTCGGTTGGCAGAATCTTTCTCAGTGCTTCTCACCTCCCCTGGTGTCCAGGCTTCGGCCCTCTCAATGTTTAGAAGCAGTGGTCAGATGCCTCCTGCTTCTTGGCACAGGGAATATTTACGCTTGAAAGGCTGGGGTCCTGGGATGGGGAAACAGGAAGCTCTCATCATCTTGGCATGATCAGTCCGAGGTATGGGTGATTTTTTTTTTTTTTCTCTTTTGGAAACGGTGCTTTGTCTTTGCAAGGGGTCATGCAGAGATTGGCAGGGTTGCTGTCTGGTGAACTACCTTGATAAATACTTGACTTTGTAAGGTTGAATTCTCCAAGAATTCTCATGGCAGTGAGGCTGAGACTTGAGCCAAGCTGTCTTTTCAAGGAAATCCAAGGTGCTATTTATTTTGGCATGCAGCCTGCTCTGGGATGAAATACCACATTTTTATTATTGCAGAATAAAAAGAGGTTTGAAGAGAACAAAAGTACAGAACCAGGTTTGTTTCAAGACTAAGTAAGGGATGGTCTCTTTATATTTGGATTTGAGGTTAGAAATGAGCTTGAAAATGGCATCGTAAAAGGAGTAAGCGTGGAGAGGAGAGGGTGCGGACAAATGCCACAGGAGTTGGGCTGCCCTGGGGAAACCCGTGCTCCTGGGCACTGAGGGTGGATCCGGCTGGAACGGTTTCCAGTCTGGCCTGGTAGCTGCACGTGGACTATCATCGCTGTCTGCCAAGTGACTGCTTCTTTGCTGGATTTTGAATGGTCAGCCTTGGTCCTCACTTCCTTACCGCCCCCCCTTGCCCCATAGGCTTGGAAAGGAACTGTGGAATGATGGAGTCACACAAGCTATCCTGCTCCTAATTAACTGGGTAACTTTGGATTGGCCACATGGACTCTTTGTGCCTTAGTTTCCTCGTTTGTAACTTGGACATGTTCCTGTTTCCTAGGATTGCTTGTATGAGGGTGAAATGAGAAATTATACTCAGTAGCTGATTCCCAGTGTAAGCGCTTAGCTCCTGTTAGTTTCTGTCCATGGGTTCCCTTTGAAGACAGATTATTTTGTTCATTTGGGAACCATGGACTGAGTGTCTGCCATGAGTTAGACATAAGGAGTTGAGGGTGACACGGGAACGAGACATGCAAGAATTCTGATCTTCACAAGCTTACAGATTAGTAGGGGAGAACAGCTAGAGAGAAAGCAAGCTGTGTATGCCCAAAATATCTAGAATATGATGAGCTGTGGAGAGAGGTTGGGCCCTAACTCTGGATCCTCGACCCTGGCATAGGACAAAAACAAACGGAAAGTAACATAATAACACCAGGTATTTAAAGGTTCTGAACACTGGGGATACAACTTAACAGGATGGGTAAGAAATGGCTTTATGGTCGGGTGCAGTGGCTCACCCCTGTAATCCCAGCACTTTGGGAGGCCAAGGTGGGTGAATCACCTGAGGTCAGGAGTTCAAGACCAGCCTGGCCAACATAGCGAAACCCCATCTCTACTAAAAATACAAAAATTAGCCGGGCATGGTAGCTTGTGACTGTAATCCCAGTTACTCAGGAGGCTGAGGCAGGAGAATGACTTGAACCTAGGAGGCGGAGATTGCAGTGAGCTAAGATCAAAAGAAATGGCTTTATGTCAAAGCTTTAAATGCTCCAGAGAGTTGCAAAATTCCGTTTTAAAGGGGAACTGTGTCCCATAAAGCTATTTTCATATTCTGTTTTATTGCGAACAAGGTAGTATGCATGTGTTGATGTGGCAGTTATTTTTACCTAACCTAACTACATTGAGCATCTGCCCATGGGAAGGAAACTCCCTTAGCTAAACTCCACGATGTCTGTTGTGAGGACCACAGAGGAAAGTGGAGAAGGCTGGGGGTGGGAGTCGGGCCTGGAAGTGGTGACTTGTGCACATGACAGATCTCTCCTTCCTTCCTGTATTATGAGCCCTTTAGAGTAAAAGTTGCCGAGCCCCCTCCTTTGAGAGTTGAGTGTTAGCTCCACTTCATTTCTGTAGCCTTGAAATGATTAATTTTAGTGAAATCCAAGTCTAAGAGAAATCTTAGAGGTCTCTACAGAGTTATTTTTAATGAAATTTGACCTAATGTGTGCTGAATAATTCTTTAAAGTCATATGATCTGATACACGACGGGCTGAATTCCTAATTCTAACCAAAGGCTAAGTGTGTGATTGAAAAGTCCCTGGGCTGATGGTGAGAGTTTGTGTAGCCAAAAGTTCAGCTGGACCCAGGTGGCCCCCTTCTCTGCAGTAGGAGCTCTCCAGCCTTGGAGAAGCAGAGCTCTCGTTTGGCCCAGGAGGCTTTACAAGAGAGCAGTTCTCCTCTAAGCCCAGAGGCTTTTTGTGTGTACTGTGGGAGAGGCAGGGAAGCACCAGTCAGAAGCATTTCCCCTCACAAGGGGAGCTAGGATCAGTCATAGTGTCAGGGAACTGGGCTGACTTACAGGGTGGACAAAGGTTTACAAATCACTTTTGTTCCCAACCCAGGCTTGGAGTTGGCTAGACTTGAGGGCAGATCCTGCTGTAACACTTGCTTGTTAAGTGACGTGGATCAGCCCTGTCAACTCTCTCAGCCTCAGTCTCCCTCCCTGGAAAATGGGAATAATAATAATCCTCTTTGGGTGATGGTGTAAAGATTGCATGAGATAATTCATGAATGTCAAGTACTCCCAGCTCTGCCTGTTGCTTAGTAATGTTACAGGGGTGGGAGGGAGAGGGGAGCAGGAGCAGGAGAGGCTGCGATGGTGGAGATGAAGGGCCAAGCTTAGGGTTTGCCACCTCAGTCTCTTCTTCTGCAGACTTCACCTGCCACTGCCTCCTGCATGCCAGCATCACCTGCTGGAGGCTGCAGAGCTGGGGTGGTGAGAGAGGCAGTGGTATTCTCTGCCTGGGAGCTTTCTCTTTATAACAAGGGCAAGCCTGCCGCACCCCAGGTTAGAACCTTCCACACCTCTCCACCGTCTGCCTCCTTGGTGGCTGCTCTCAGCCTCTGCAAGACCACCTACACTCTCAGCTCCCTTGTCCCTAACTTCTCTAGCTCTCAGTTTTCAACAAACCAGGATGTGCTGCTGCACTGCTTGCTGCCTCAGAGGTAAGCAAAGTACTCAGTGTGTCAATCCTTCTGCAATGAGTGTCTCTGCTTCTAGAACACAAGCCTGCCCTTTGGGGCTCCATCCACCTGGATAGAGCAAGGCCTCTCTGGCAGCTGCTTGGCAAATGGGCTGGAGGAGATGAGGCAGAAGCAGCGCTCGCAGGAAGAAGTGGTGCTTAACTTTCTGGTGGCAAACTTCGGCATTTCTCTCTTATTTGACAGGCCTCATGTTTTCCAGCCCTCTTCTCGAGTTACTTTTTGTCCCCTTTTTTCCATCCTTGGTTTCTGGGGGCCACCCATCATCCTTTTCTTTCACTCTCAGTTTCTCCCAATCCTTCCCTCATCACTGGTTCACTTTCCTGGTCTGGAGTTCATTGTCAAGTACATTGGAATTCCTAAAACAACCCTGCTTCCACTGCTGTGGTGTCACAGATAATTCGTTATTCTGATGGATGTGGAGTTACAATCATAAAAAGCCAATTTCCTGGGTGATTTATTGTAATGGGGGCAGGAGCTAGGATGTTTACCATTTGAAGAAAGAGTCCCGGAAATGGATTAAAACTTTGGGGAGAATTTATGGTCAAACCTCAAGGCACACTAATTCAGAGCCAGGGCAAATATTCTGCTTGAATAGTTACCCATGTCTTCGGGCCACCCAGGTTGAACTTCCCCTTGTTCTGCCCATGGTTAGAAATCACCTCTAAGTATCAGCTCCCTGTCAGTACTTGCAATTATCTCATCTCTATCTTCTGTTTGATTGACATGTCACACATCATTTATAGGTACTCTGATTCCAGCTTTCTCACAAAGTGGATTATAAGTCTCTTCCCAGGATGGGGACAGGTAGATTTCAACTCTTGAGATTACGGAAAGCGCCCTGTGCTGGTATCAGAAGCCTAGGTCTGATACTAGCACCTTCACGAATATTCTGAGACACCTTAGAGCAATTAAGTCCTCAGTCTCAGTTTCCTCATCTGCCAAGCAAGACGGCTGGACGAAATACTTCCACTTCTTTTCACTTCAACTATTGCTAATATTCCATGAAGAAACATTCAGAATTGGACTGTAGAAATGTGTACAGGTTTTTAATCTTCCTCCTTGGAAGACTGTGAGGTCATGGGCACCCTGGGAGAAAGGCAGGGATGGGTGTTACTTTCTTTAGTGCTATGTTTCCCCAATACTTATTCAAACTCTAATGAGACTCACCAATTCTGTATCCTCCTTTCTTTCAGAACTCTCCAACAAGTTTTACAGACTCATCTGATGAAGAGTGCCTGAGACACTGAGGGTCAGCGCTCCAAAGATGGAGAAGACAGATGGTAGGCAGGCTGCTTTGTAGGGCCTGTTTTAAGATAAGCACTTGGGCTGGGAAAGAATTGTTGCCACAAATCCTGGAAATAGCCTAGGAAAGGCTTACAGGAGATACCCCCAAACAGGCAGTGCTGGTAGGCTTAAGCATGTATTTCAGATTTTGTATATCTCCAGCCCTAGCCAAGGAAAGAGGCACAATATGGTGAAAGAGCCTCCATTCATACCTAAGTGATTCTACAAGTCATTTAATGTCTTTGATCCTTAATCCTCCCATGTATCAGTTAGCTTTGCTGTGTAACAAACAGCCCAACAATTTAGTGACTTAAAGACATTAATTATTTCTCAAAAGATTCTGTGGGTTAGCAGGGCCATTATTCTGGTCTAGGCTGGCATGGCTGATCTTTTCTGGGTTCATTCACATGTCCATGGGCTTCTGGGTGACTTGGCTGGGGCTGGATGACTTAGAATGGCCACACTCACATATCTGGGATATCAGTAGTGACTTGGCCATGTGTCTCTCATCATCCAGGAGGTTGGCTAGGGCTTGTTCACATAGTGGCAGAAGAGTTGAAGCACAACACAAGAACAGACTGACTCCAATGTGCAGATAATGTTCCAATCTCTGCATATGTCATATTGCTGTTGACCCACTGGCCAACACAGTCATAAGGCCACATCTAGTGTCAGTGTGGTAGGGGAGTACCCCAAGGGTCGGATATTATTGTGACTATCTTTGCAAACAGTTGACCACACCTTGTCTATAAACAGGTATTAATACTATTTCATAGGGTTAGTAAAGAACTAAATTACACAATGCATGGAAAGTTGTCGAGTAACAACTACCTAGCATAATGAATGTCAGAATGTTCCCCTCTTCCCATCCCCAGGAAACTTGCAGAAGGCCACAGTCTAGACCCCAATCTCCTGACTTCTAATGAATTTTTTTTCTAGATGACCAAATATCAGGAAACAGAGAGCCTCTAATTACCCTTGAATCACATGGGCCTTCACCAGTGCAGGACTTAGGGACCTGACATCAGCTCCCGCCCTGCCTCTTCTTCCAAATGCAGTTCCCATATATTTCAATATTTCAGTAGTTGCCTTTCTCCCCAGAGAGCTGCCTTTTCAGTACATCCCTGGCAGTGGTCCCACCGAACACCCACTCATTCCTTCAAAAGCCCCAGGGGCCTGTCAGCCCAGCTGCCTCTAAGTCCCTTCTCAGCCCACTGGGGAGGTCTGCTGTCCACGTGATCGCTCATATGAGCTCAAGAAAGGCTCCCTCCTTTCAGCCATGGGCCTCCCAGAACAGGGACAAGCCTTCCCAGAGGGGAAGGCTTCCTTCCCTGTCTTGGTCTTTGGAAGAGTTTCGTTTTACTCCCCTTCTTTATGGCTTTATTTTCAGCCACTTTCTCTCTAGTTTCTGTTTTTCCCATTTACTTCAGAGACTGAATATAGGCTTTTGAACTTCTCTTTAAACGCTTTAAATGCCTCTAGTTGGTTCACACTTTAAACGCTTCTAGTTGGTTCACTTACCTGCTTTACTTCACTTGTCCCTTCAGATAATTACTGTGGTTCTCCCTCCTTACCTTGTCCCCTTCAAGTCCCCTTTTCTCCTGTCTGTGTGTAACTCTGAAGCTGACTGTGTTTGTAGGTCCTATGTAAGGGTCTAGTGATCTGTTGCACTCTTAAGCAAGACTCCATAGGGAATTCCAGGTAGCTCTGAGCCTCCTCTATCTTTCTTTTTTCTTCTCCCCAGACTCATTTTCCCACTTTCTCCAGAAATATTTTCTTGGACTCTCATTCCCTCTTGAGCTGTAGGGAGACAGCACATGCTCAGTGAATCCTCCTCTGCCGCATTCAGAACCTGCCCACCCTTGCTGTTAGGGTCCTTCAGTGAGTGTCTACCCTGGGCTGTGTTCTCTAGTGCATTCATGCTAATAATGACAACAACTCTGTAAATTAGGCGTTGTTATCTCCACTTTACAAATGGAGAAATTGAGGCAGAGGGAAATGAAATAATTTGCCCAGAATCACACAAGTGGGAGATGACAGCCAGGATTCAAATCCAACCAGGTTGGCCATGTGTTGGTTTATTTCATCTGAATTTCATTTTGAGCACAGTCAGGTCCTCCTAACTGATTCCCACCCTGGCCCAGTGCCTGGAATTCTGAGCTCCCGCATACCTGCCACCAGGTAGAATGAACAAGAGCAGAGCTGCTTGTGAGGGCAGTCTCTCAGCCTATCAGCTCAAGCTCCCTCATCAAAGCCCAGCATTCCTCTTGTGCTGGGAGAAAGAGAAGGAATGCAGAGTGGCAGGTGGCAGGCAGGGCAACATGATGGATCACTATGTGTGTGTGTGTGTGTGTGTGTGTGTGTGTGTGTGTGCTAGCTTAGGAAAGCACCTATTAAACCTGCTATTAAACCTGTCATCCTTGGTAGCTGCTCAACCTCACTTGCCCTCCTCTCCCTTGTGGAAGATTCTGCCTTTAAATCTGCTGTTTCTTATTTGATGCTATGATTGTATTTGTGCTCTGGATCTGTGCCCAGAAGCCGTTGGGCAAATCGGTGCATTTCTAGTGAATTGAGGCAATAAGCAGATAAATAATGCAGCCTCTCCTTTAGGAGAGCTCTTTGCCTTCTAGGTCATAAATCTGCTCTCTACTTAACTTTCGATAAATATCTCTTCTCTGTTTGGCCTGTCCTTGTAATCCTGGGGGCTGTTGAGCAGACCAGTAGGTCTAAGAGTATAGCCAGTGCAACTTGGAAAACTAATGGAGAGCAATACAAGATATTGTTCTCATTTACTAAAATTGCCAGTGTGTTTCTTTGTGGGGGTACGGGAAGGTCGGGGAGCAAGTTGGTTTAAAAAATTGTGGGAGTCGGCTGGGCATGGTGGCTCATGCCTGTAATCCTAGCACTTTGGGAGGCTGAGGCAGGCAGATCACCTGAGGTCAGGAGTTCAAGACCAGCCTGGCCAACATGGTGAAACCTCGTTTCTACTAAAAATACCAAAAAAAAAAAAAAAAAAAAAAGCCAGGTGTGGTGGCACGCACCTGTAATCCCAGCTACTCGGGAGGCTGAGGCAGGAGAATCACTTGAACCTGGAAGGCGGAGGTTGCAATGAGCCAAGACTGTGCCATTGCACTCCAGCCTGGGCAACAAGAGCGAAATTCTGTAAGAAAGAAAGAAAAGAAATAAAGAAAGAAAAAGAGAGGAGGAAGGGAGGAAAGGAAGGAAGGAAGGAAGGAAGGAAGGAAGGAAGGAAGGAAGGAAGGAAGGAAGGAAGGAAGAAAGAAAGAAAGAAAGAAAGAAAGAAAGAAAGAAAGAAAGAAAGAAAGAAAGAAAGAGGGAAAGAAAGAGGGAAAGAAAGAAAGAGGGAGGGAAAGAAAGAAAGAGGGAGGGAGGGAGGAAGGAAGGAAAATGTGCCCCAGGAAATACCACCATTTGCAACTTTTTTAAACCTGTCCCTTTCCCTCCATTACCTTGAACTCCTCTCACCTTAATCATGTCAGCAGCCTCCCAGCTGATCTTGGGGCCTCTGGTTTGCCTTTCTGTTAATCCTTGGCAAGATGCTCTTTTTGAAATCACATTCAACCAAGTCACCCCCTTGTTTAAAACCCTTTGGTGATTCCCATCACCTAAAGCGTAAAGTCAAAACTTGTTTACGTGCATACAAGTTGCTCCATGATCTGGCTGTTGCTGTCCTTTCCAATTTTATCTTTCTCTACCACGTTTTAAGTACTGGCCATATCAGCTGCATTTATAGAACTTTGAAATACTGTGTGATTTCACCCTCCATCCCTTTGCACATTCTCTGTGGAGAGCTAGATTTTCTGTCTTGGCTATCTATTGCTGCATAACAAGTCATCCCAAAACTTGGTGGCTTAATACAGTAATTTATTATTAGCACAGGCTCAGTTCAGTGATTCTCACTTGGGGTCCCTCCTGTAGTTGAAGTCAGATGATGGCTGAAGACTTTTTTACTCATGCGTGGCATCTGGGCTAGGATGACTGGAACTGCTTGGGGCTGGCTGGGCATTTCCTTCCCTCTCTCCACTTGACCTTTCTGTGGGGCTGTTTGAGCTTCCTTGCAACATGGCAGTCTCGGGGAAGGTGGACTTCTTACATGGCAGCTGGCTTCCCAATGAGTGTGCATTCTAAGAGAGCCAGGTGGAAGCTATGGGGGTTCTTATGACCTAGCTTTCAAGATCTCTGAGCATCAGCCATATTCTTTTGGTTAAAGCAGTCGCAGGCCAGCCCAGAATCAAAGGCCTGGAAAGGTAGACTCCACCTTTAAAAATAAAATTAGCTTGCTTGTCCAAAGAGGGTAGGAATTGGTGGTGGTCATCTTGAAGATAAATTGCCACAATGTCTTTTACTCCCTTGTTCTCCTGGCAAGTCCCTATTTATTCATTTATCACCCAGTCGTACATCACTTTTGTGTAAAGTCATCCCTCTCCTACCTAAGAAAAATTGGTCTCCAAGTCCAAAAAAAAAAAAATTCTGCAGAAACTAGAAAAATAAGTCAGGGAAGAAGCCTGTACCATGAGCATGCATCTGTTACTCTCCTTATCTCACTGCATTGTGTGTGTTCGTGTCTCTCCTGCCTCACCATAAATCCTTTGAAGGCAGAGGCTGAACCTGATTCATGTTGGTGTCCTTAGGATCTAGCTTAGCACATAGGTGCTCAATAAATGGGTGGGTGAGGTAAGTGAATTGAATCACAACTATTTTATAATTTTAACCTAGGGCCTACTACCCTTAAAACCAAGCAATCAACCAGTCACAACATGTTTGTGGAGACCAGCAGTGAGTCACATAAGTCAGTTTCCATTATGGGGCTTCCATTGTCTATATTTTGGGATTCCACAAAGATAAACTGAATGTTTATCATGTGTGAGGCATCGTCCCAAGTACTTTATTACTAATTAACTAGTCCTCACAATAATCTTTTTTTTTTTTTTGAGATGGAATTTTGCTATTGTTGCCTAAGCTAGAGTACAATGGTGCAATCTCGGCTCACTGCAACCTTCGCCTCCCGGGTTCAAGCGATTCTCCTGCCTCAGCCTCCTGAGTAGCTGTGATTAGAGGCACCTGCCACCACGCCCAGCTAACTTTTTTCTATTTTTAGTAGAGATGGGGTTTCACCATGTTGGCCAGGCTGGTCTCAAACTCCTGACCTCAAAGTGATCCACCACTCCTGGCCTTCCAAGGAGCTGAGATTACAAGGCGTGGAGCCACCGCACCCAACTGTCCTCACCAATAATCTTATTTTACCTGTTATTATTCCACTTTTTACAGATGATGAGAACATAGGAAGGCTAAGTAACTTCCCCAAGGTCATGCAGCAGAGATCATAGACCAGGCTCCAGAATCTTGTATTCTGAACCTCTGTACCTCTCCACTAATGTTTCTCCTGAGCTCAATATTTTCAGAGACTGTTTAGCAGAATGTCACAGAGGTAATTAGGCGGTGTCACATGAGGAACATCGAAGAAAGCAAAGACTATTTAACCTGAAGAGAAGTTGCTTGGCAACAGGGCCCCGTATGGAATCAGAGTAGTGTGAAGGACTGCGCTTCGTTTTCAGTCGTCCTCTGTCGGCCGGTCAACACGTCGGTGGAGTGCTGCAAGGAGATCCTGGAACCTTGGTTAATGGAGAACTTCCTACATGCAGATGGCCCCCAGGCGTCATGGGTTGCCATGGAAAGTCAAGTCCCATTGCTTCCTTGGCAAGGATCAGAATGGACCAATGTCCCTTTTTGACATGGTGAATGTGGCCCTTTTACCACATCTTTATCCAGTGTGTGGAAAAAATGCGTTGTCTTTCTTTTCCTCTCTTGCTTCCTATCCCCTTCCCTTTCCCCTTCCCCTCTCTTTCCCTTCCTTCTCCGTTCTTCCTTCCCTCCCTGCGTCCCCTTCTCTCCTCCCTCCTCCCTCCCTCCCTCTCCTCCCTTCTTCCTTCCTTCCTTCCTTCCTTCCTTCCTCTCTTCACTGAGTTCCTGACCAAACGAGGTGTTTTCTTACTTGGCATGGGTTTATGAAAGTGAATTTCGTGTTTGTTAAGTACTAGGCAATTTTCAGATGCAAAGAGCGTAGGCCGTGCATGATTACTTGTTCCAGTTCTCTCTGATCTGTGCATACCTGAGGCGCAGGCATCTGCACAAGTTTAAATAATGTAAAAGGCATAACTCATTGATACCTCCGGCTTTAGCAAGATTTACTCCTACCAATTTGAGTCATGCAAGTTAGGGTTTGGTTTTTTTTGCAGATTTCTTTTTTACTGCTGAGCTGCTTGTGTATCTTATCCTTCAAAATCTTCCATATCCGAATTGCCAATTAGTACCCTGATTTGGCAAATTCCTGGGCACTTCCGTTTAGCAATTATATGATTCAAACCCACAAAAGCAGTTCAAGACCATTTTGTTTTGCTGGTCTGCAGGCAGATTCCCCAGTAGTAATCCAGATGATGTATGGCAAACTGGAAACCATTCCCTCCCCGTTTCCTTGCAGACATTGGCTAAGTACACATTGATTTAATAAGATGATTTCCCAATACAGCCAAAAAGACTGAGCATCTCGGCATAATTTAGAGGCTATAACATTTAGGAGAAGTCTCATGTGATAGTGTTAAGTTAAAATCAGAGATATTAGGCCTCATCGCCCTGTAATGCTTAATTAACTTTGTGCTTTTTTTTATGCTTTTTTTTTTTAACTTGTCTTATGTCTCCCAGCCAAAGACCAGTCCTGTCAGGGGGATGAAGAGAAAGACCCTCCGAAGAGGCACCCTTACTCTGTGGAGACCCCATATGGCTTTCATTTAGACCTGGACTTCCTCAAGTATGTGGATGACATCGAGAAGGGAAACACCATCAAAAGGATTCCTATCCACAGAAGGTCCAAGCAGGCCAAGTTTAGCACTCTGCCCCGAAACTTCAGCCTTCCTGACAGCGGGGCTCGCCCCCCCGCGGCCCCGTCGCCCCAAAACTGGTCCCCAGTGGTGCCAAGGAAGGCATCGCTTGGGACACAGGAGCAAACCCAGTCACTGCCGCTTGGTAATGCCTCCCAGGCCTCAACCAGCGCGAGTGAGGTGAGCTACCACAGGAGGGCCCTGTTGGCAGAGGCCACCAGGCAGTTGGAAGCTGCTGAACCAGAGGATGCCGAGGTCACCCTTGGGAGTGGACGGCCCCAGCTATTGAGAGCATCCAGCATGCCTGCCACGCTGCTGCACAGCAGGGCTTCTGAGGAGCCAGGCCTCAGCCTGGAGCCTCCTGCCCCTCCTGCGCTCCCTCCCCTTCAGGGTGAAGGCAGTGTCTGCGATGGCACCTTTGGCCCTGCAGAAGGATTGGCAGCTTTCCACAGCTCCAGCCCACAAGCATCAGCTCGGATTCCGGAGCTGGTCCAGGAGGGAGCTGAGCCTCCAGAGGGCACGGTGAAGGCTCCAAATCACCTCCCTCTCCCAGGCCCTCCTTCCTCATTCCAGAATGTGCTTGTAGTTCTAGAGGACAAGGAAGACGAACACAAAGCCAGAAGAGCAGAGGTGGTGTTCAGCCCTGGCTCCCCCACACCAAGCCCTCCTCCTCTGCCATCACCCATCCCTGAGAATGAGCTCCTCCTGGAAGAAATCGAGCTCAACATCAGTGAGATTCCACCCCCGCCACCTGTAGAGGTGGACGTGAGAAGCATTGGCATCAGAGTGACGGAGGAAAGCCTGGGCCTTGCCAGGGTGGATCCAGGCAGCATCTCCAGCCTCAAACAGCAGGTCTCGGCCCTGGAGGGAGAGTTGTCTGGAAGAACTGAGGAACTGGTGCAGGTCAGAGCTGCCCTCCAGCAGCAGGAAGAGGAAATCAAGGCTAGGGAGCAAAGAATTCGAGAGCTGGAGTTCACTGTAGCCCAACTGGAAGGACAGCTTCACCAAGAGAACACCAAAGACACTCAGGGCCAGACGGACGCCATGGTGAACACTGACCCTGTCCATGGACTCTTGACCAGGGAGTCGTGTGACAAGGGCATTGAGGTCAACCTTCTAGGCAGCATGGAGTCTGAAAGCTGGGGGCACCGAGGAGAGGAAAATGGCCTCCTATGGGGGCCAGATGGTCACAAACAAGGGGATCAGAGCCCAGCAGAACATGTGCCCCAGCTGTCACTGCCACAGGGACCCGAGCAAGTCCTTACCCCCTCTGTACATAGCTTCCTCTCCACTGAACTCAGGATTGAAGAAGCAGGCACTGAACAGGAAGGAGGCCCTCAGGGAGGAACCAGGGAAGCAGGAGGCTTTCCGTGGGGCAGCGACAGAAAGACTCCCCCAGCAGGGAGAGAGGAGGCCAATTCCGATCTCCCAGGGAAGGAGCGCCCGGGAAGGCCACCGAGCTCGCCAACGGATGCCACTATTGGGCAGTACGTGAAGAAGATCCAGGAGCTCCTGCAGGAGCAGTGGAACTGCCTGGAGCACGGGTACCCAGAGCTGGCCAGCGCCATCAAGCAGCCGGCCTCCAAGCTCAGCAGCATCCAGAGCCAGCTGCTGAGCTCCCTCAACCTGCTGCTGTCAGCCTACTCAGCCCAGGCTCCCCCACCCAAGGAGCCGCCGGCCTCCTCCTCCTCCCCGCCGATGGGTAAATACCGTCCATACAGGGGCCTGAGACAGGGAGCCCTTTCTCCTTCACATGATGAGGCAGAGGCAACAAGGTTTTCATTATATTAATGTGTTTTAAAAAAGATTTTAGCAGCTGGGAGCAGTGGCTCAGGCCTGTAATCCCAGCATTTTGGGAGGCCGAGGTGGGCAGATCACCTGAGATCAGGAGTTCAAGACCAGCCTGGTCAACATGGCGAAACCCCATCTCTACCAAAAATACAGAAATTAGCCGGGCATGGTGGTGGGCACCTGTAATCCCAGCTACTTGGAAGGCTGAGGCAGGAGAATCGCTTGAAACCTGGGAGGCAGAGGTTGCAGTGAGCCGAGCTCACACCATTGCACCCCAGCCTGGGTGACAGAGCGAGACTCCATCTCAAAAAAAAAAAAAAAAAAGCAAGAAAAAAAGAAAAAAAGATTTTAGTACTTCCAGGAACCCAGTGGAATAAAAACTGATGTGTGTGACAGTGGAGGCTCGGGACCTCTACTCTTGCCTTTGCTCTAAGGTTGGGTCTGACTGTGAGGCCACTGCCTACAGCTGTATGGATAGCACAGGGCACAAAGATGGCAGCCAGGGAGGGCAAATGAAAGTTGAAAGCCAGCCCACACTCCATTTGCCATGCCTTGTACTGCAGCACCGCATCCACCCAGAGGGGGCTGTTGTCATTTGCATTGTGCAAAGGCAGTGTCTGGGTCCAAGAATGTCCCTGCTGAGTGGACTCCAAACCTCTTCCTGGGCTTTTGCATTCCTGTGTTCCTGTCTGGTTCTTGCACAGTAGAGGTTTTCTATAGCCTGGTTTTGGAGGAACATTATATTGATATCTGGTATAGTTCACTGAATATTTTCTCTGCGTGCATGTGTGTGTGTACGTGCTTGTGTGTGTACAGGGGCAGGAGATTGAGTGCTGCTCACATATGGAACTGGGCCCTTCGGCTGAGCAGCACTTCCTCTTGTAACAGATCAAACCCTCTTCACTGTTGGGTAAAGTGGAACCACATTTTGCTTTACTGGGCAGCATGCAAGTCTGCTTCCTGCCACAAATCACGATTTGGCTGCTTTCTCATTGTTTCGGTGCTAGTTCTAGCCTTGCCGGTTGGGAACCGCCTCCTGTTCTGTTGAGCACAATGCAAGATCTGTGTCCTTGCTTGTGTGTCTACTGTGAGCACGGTGTCATCACCACTCCCGCAACCCTAGTGTCAACATGGATTTGTGAGCCAGGAAGGACCACCGAGATGCCCTTGAACAGAAGTGGGTGCTGGACCATGAGTCCAGAGGCCTAAGTTCTTCTCCTGCACTGCCATTCACTGAGCAAGTGTGGGCCTCAGATTTCCCAGCCGTAAGACAGGGACAGCAATGGCACCTACGCCACATTGTTCTTCATCCACACCTAGAGGGGCATCGTTAACAGAGACAGTTCTCCCAACATTGAGCAGAAAGCAAGGCTCCCCCAAGAGGTCCCCAAAACATTGATTTACATGATCTGGTTCCCTGTCCTTCCCTTACCTCTCCACACACCGGCAACCCTTGTCCCCTCAAAGTAATATCCTGGTTTTGCTACATTGCCATGCGTCCCCAAGATCATTCTAACCTGTGATGTTGTGTCTGCCTAGAGATCTCCCCGTCGACCAGCCTTAAATCCATAATGAAAAAGAAAGACTATGGCTTCCGTGCAGGAGGTAATGGAACCAAAAAGAACCTTCAGTTTGTTGGGGTTAACGGTGGGTAAGCATCGCTTGTGAAGCTCAGACTGCCTTTCTTGCTACCTCTCCTGCTATTGTCCTTCACACTCTCTTTTCCTAGGGGGAGGCATCTGGTTTTCATTCCTCTTCAAGGGAATTAATTTCAATGGCCCTTTAAAACTCCATCTCGGGTTTGCATGTGTTTGGCTTCCTGCCAGCTGCGGTGGTCTGTTGGAACCTCTGCTTTTAATATGTCTTGGCTTTGGTCTTCCCCAGGGCCAGGACTCCAGGTGGCTTCTGGGAGTTTTGGGGGTATACAGGCCCTTAGAGGAAGGCATTTAACTTGAACCATAAAACTGAAACTAGTAACAAACTTTGTTAATTCATGGAACTTCAAATTTCATCCATTTAATTTTTTTCTTCCTTTAACTTCCTGCAAGCCAAGCCCAAGTGTTTGGGGATGAAGAAAAACAACTAGACTATTGACTTAGAACATGAACAAAACCTTATATATTCTAGAGAATTGAATGTTCAACAAACACTTATTAAATGCCAACAGTGCGCTCGGTCGTGGAGATTGAAAAGTCAAATAAATAAAGGTCCCTGCCTTTAGCTCACAGATAACAGAAGTAAAGATGAAACGCTGATGTGCTGAGATAAGTTCTGTTAGGCGAGGAAGCCCAAACCCTGAAGGCTGCCCAGAGACCTCAGGATCCCTGCTAATTTGAGTCACACCAGAAGGGAAGACATTAAACGTCAACAAGGGGAAACGTCAGAAATGATGAACTGGGGCTGGGTGCGGTGGCTCATGCCTGTAATCCCAGCGCTTTGGGAGGCTGAGGTGGACAGATCACCTGAGGCCAGGATTTCAAGATCAGCCTGACCAACTTGGTGAAACCCCATCTCTACCAAAAATACAAAATTATCTGGGCGTGGGGGCACACATCTGGTAGTCCCAGCTACTCAGGAGGCTGAGGCAGGAGAGTCGCTTGAATCCAGGAGGCAGAGGTTGCAGTGAGTTGCCAAGATTGTGCCACTGCATTCCATCCTGGGCGACAGATCAAGACTCAGTCTCAAACAAAAAAAAAAAAAAAGGAAAAAGAAAAGAAAAAGAAATGATAAACTGGGTGTCACAGGCGAGTTGCTGTTCCCACTTCCACTAACATCTGACACGGGATTGTGTGCTTTCACAGTTCATGTACAGAAAAGGAGAATCAGCCTAATCTCAAAGCCTCGTGTAGGTCATGTCTCTCCCCAGCTTAAACACCCCCAGTGGTCCCCACTCTGCATCCAAACCTGGAAGAAGCAAATCATGGCTCTGCTCAGCCTTAGTCCCTGCCACTGCCGTTCCTTCCCTCCCTCCAATGGGCTGAGCTCAGGCCCATCTCAGGGCCCTGGCACTTGCCGTTGCCCTGCTAAAGGCCTCCTCTCCTGGACATTCCCTCAGCATTTGTTACTCCAGTGCAGTGATTCTCAGCCTTGGTTGCACGCTGGAAACACCAGGGGAGCTTTTAAAACATCCCAGTGTCTGGGTCCTTTCCCTGAACACTCTGGTTTAATCGGTCTGGGTGCAGTCCACATCCTGGGAATTCTAAACATCCTCAAATGATTCTAATGTACCACTAATATTAGGAACTTCTGCTCTAATTAAAGTAGCCACTCCTCTTATCCTTCTATCCCATGGCTCTTTTTTTTTATTTTATTCATTTTTTGTCACCACCTGAATGTAATATTTCTTTACATGTTCATTTTCTGACTCTCCCTACTAGAACATAAGCTCCACTAGGGCAGGCAGGGACTTTGGTATAGGATTTAGAACTGCCCCGGCACATAGTAGGTGCTCAATAAATTCCTGTTGAATGAATAAGTGAACTTCCAGGCAAAGTTTTTATGGAAGCAGTTCCAAGATGAGTACTGTTTGGGAAATGTAATATGCCCTCCACTCTGTTAATCACAAACGTGAAAGGTTGTTCCTGCATAATGGAGGAAGAAATATCTAGGGTTTAAGCGAGACAGAATATAAGCATACCAGGGAGCAGACTGGGTTTGCAAATCCATTGAGCACAGGGGTTTTATGTAGAGGCCACCATTCAGAGAAGGGTCCTTAGGGGGTTCAGTGGAAGCCATGGCCACCAGTCCCTGTGGCTGTGTCCAGTGGCCCAAGAACCTGAAATCATCTTACCACCAGCATTCTCCATCAGGGATCTCCTGTTGAATATCAGTAGAGGAGTCAATAAATCTTCCAGGACTTTCCTCCATGGCCTCTGGCCTCTGGTCTGCCAACTCAACAGAGTCACTTATAATTGAACAAAAGGGTCACTACCAGGAAAGAGGGCCATGAGTCAAGTGGCCTGTGCTCTCCCTCTTTTTGCTCCAAGCAATAGTTCAAACAGGTTGCAGCGAAGACAGGCAGATGTTGTGTTGGGGTATCCCACGGAGCGCTGGATGTAGGTGTGGAGGAGTTCATGCCTTGCCAGGTGCAAGCTGGGCTGGCGCAGGCTGAAGGGAGGACTCGCTCTCACCCAGAGATGTGAAGATGTGCAGGCAACCTGGTGAACTCAGGGTGGAGGTGGGGATGTTTGCCTGGAGTTGGGCCCCTCTCCAGACCTAACATTAGGATTCCACAAGCAAATGCTTTCATGAGAACATTGTGATGGCCTGTCTGGGTCACCAAATGCATCAACCAATGAGGAGACAGGCTACTGGTGGGTTTGCTGCAATCAGCACAGTTAATTATTTTGACAATGAGCACAGTTAATTATTTTGACAATGAGCACAGTTAATTGAGTCTCCCCAAATAGCCTCCCTGCACCATGCAGTCAGAAAGACTGCAGTCTTTCCGACGCTAAGATTCCTGGGAGCCCGTCACCCTGCCGGCAGGTGTAGAGAGTCGGGGAGGAGGTTAGCAAGCTGCGGAGTGTGACCTGAGGCCCACCCAGCTCTCACTGGTGTTGACATGGGCACTGGGCAGGAAAGACAGGACGAGTGACCTTTGTTTCCTACCCCAGGTATGAGACCACCTCGAGTGAGGAGACCAGTGGTGAGGACAGCTCCCCAGAGGACTTGTCTGACAGTGAGGCTGAGAAGAAGTGTGATGGCCCAGACCACAGGCATGTCAAAGACGCCCACCTCACCTGCGAGGCTGGGCAGGGCATCCCCGAGGGCACCTGCCATGCTGCCCAGGAAAGTGGGGCTGGGGAAGAAGTCCCCCAGTCCAAGGCTGAGAGGTGAGCAAATGGACACAAACGTGGGCACTTGTTCCTCTGAAAAAGGGCAAGGGCATATATCCACCCACTCATGCGATTTGTTCATTCATGTACCCATCCATTCACCAGTGTTGTTTAAGTCTCTGTTTCATGCCCACACTGTGCACTGATTAAATGAGGCAGATATATAGCTCCTGCTTTCGTGGAATGTACTGTCACAGCCGGTGTCTACGTATAAAGTCAACATTTACCTAGCGCTGAAACTGTGAAGGACTTTACAAGTATCCTTTCAACAGTCCTGCAGGGTAGAAGTTATTGTGACCATCACACTGTACAGATGTGGAAACAGAGACTTAGGGAAGTGCAGGGATGCAGCCAGCAGAGCAGGGACCCCAGTCCCAGTCCTTCTGACTGTTACCCATAAGCTTTTCTGCCTGTCCTGTTGACCATGCTGGCTTTTAAAGTGATGTGTCTTTTTTTTTTTTTTTGAGACAGAGTCTTGCACTGTCACCCAGGCTGGAGTGAAGTGGCACAATCTCGGCTCACTGCAACCTCTGCCTCCCAGGTTCAAGTGATTCTGCTGCTTCAGCCTCCTGAGTAGCTGGGACTACAGGCGCCCACCACCATGCCCAGCTATTTTTTTGTATTTTTTAGTAGAAATGGGGTTTCACTATGATCTTGAACGCCTGACCTTGTGATCCACCCGCTTCAGCCTCCCAAAGTGCTGGGATTGCAAGTGTAAGCTACAAGTGCCTGGCCAGTGATGTGTCTTTTAAAGTGATGGGAGCAGCCAGGCACCATGGCTCACAGCTGTAATCCCAGCACTTTGGGAAGCTGAGGTGGGAGGATCCCTTGAGGTTAGGAGTTCGAGACTAGCCTGGGCAACAGAGTGAGACTCTGTCTCTATTTTACTTATAATATTTAATTTTTTAAGAAAAAATAATAGAAGTAAAGTGATGGGAGGTCATATGGGAGGAAAAGAAGAGCATTGCCTTTGGAGTCAGGCATACCTGGACTCAATTCCTGCCTCTGCCACGATGTTACTTTAGGCAAAGTCCTTGAGCTGTGGTTGCCTCAGTTTCCTCATCTGTCAAATGTGCATAATAGCAACTTGATAGGTTTGATTGAGAACTACATGAGAAAAAGCAAGTAAATGCTTGGCACAGCACCTCCCACATACTAGGCTCTCAGTAAATGGTAGAAACAAGACGGTTTTTACCATTATCATCACTATCACCATCTCCAGCCTGGCTGCCGGAGGAGTGGTGAACAGTGAACGGGAGCCGATTGTCACCCAGGTCAGGGCTGCTCCAACGTGGCAGCAAGATGAGGACAGGCCAAGTGAGTCGGCTTCTTTGTGTCCAGTGTCTTTAAGCCTCACCTGAGTCCTCTTGGTGCTCAGCCTTCCTTCAGACTAATACGGGAAGAGTGCCTGTCACTGTGGACACCCCAGCTTCAACGAGTCTCATATTACTGACTCTGTTAGTACTTATGCTGTCCTCCATGGAAGAATAACCCGAAGAAATTTTCTGGTATGGATTGGATTCTTTGATTTTTTTTTTTTCCAGCCTCCCAGGCAGAAAATATGTGGTCCAAAGTCAGAAAGACAGCCCTCCCCTTCCCAGCATGCCAGGAAATGCAGTTGGGCCTGTCCACCACCCCCTACCACAACCCCCTACCTAAATGCTTTGGTTATCGGCCCCAGACCCTGACAAAAGCAGGATTAAATGGGCAACACACTTGGCTCATCTTCAGAAGCGTTCAGAAGCCAAGTCACATCGGCACACACCGTGGTCACTCTGGATTTCTGAAGCACGCCCCCTCCTAGGGCAGTTGCCCAGGTTGGATTTTTGAGCTGCTGAGATGTGAAAAAGGAGGAGAGTGAAAGTCTTGTTTATCAACATGAAGAATGATTATGTAAATATGTGTGTATATGTATTTGTTTTCTTTAGATATAAACCCTCAGAAGAATTTCTTAATGCATGCCAAGCACTGAGCCAGCATCTGCCAGAAACTGGGACCACCACGGACCAGCTCTTGGTACTCTAATTTTTCATTGTCATGTAAAGATTTCCCTTCTGTTTAAGACGTTAACTCTGCCAGGGTGACTTTAGTCCCTTGCAGTGGTGTGAGTGTGCAGTTTACAGTGTGAGGCAGTAGTGTGGGCATGCAGTGATGTGAATGGTGTGAGTGTGCAGTGTGAGGCAGCAGTGTGAGTGTGCAGTGGTGTGAGTATACAATGCACAGTGTGAGGCAGTGGTGTGAGTGTACAGTGGTGTGAGTGTGCAGTGGTGTGAGTGTACAGTGCACAGTGTGAGGCAGTGGTGTGAGTGTTTAGTGGTGTGAGTGTGCAGTGTGAGGCAGTGGTGTGAGTGTGCAGTGGTGTGAGTGTACAGTGCACAGTGTGAGGCAGTGGTGTGAGTGTTTAGTGGTGTGAGTGTGCAGTGTTAGGCAGTGGTGTGAATGTGCAATGGTGTGTTGTGAGTGTGCTGTGTAAGGCAGTGGTGTGAGTGTGCAGTGGTTCAAGTGGTGTGAGTATACAGTGCACAGTGTGAGGCAGTGGTGGGAGTGTGCAGTGTGAGGCAGTGGTGTGAATGTGCAATGGTGTGAGTGTTGCGAGTGTGCTGTGTGAGGCAGTGGTGTGAGTGTGCAGTGGTTCAAGTGGTGTGAGTATACAGTGCACAGTGTGAGGCAGTGGTGGGAGTGTGCAGTGTGAGGCAGTGGTGTGAATGTGCAATGGTGTGAGTGTTGTGAGTGTGCTGTGTGAGTGGTGTGAGTGTGCAGTGGTACAAGTGGTGTGAGTATACAGTGCACAGTGTGAGGCAGTGGTGGGAGTGTGCAGTGGTGTGAATGGTGTGAATGTGCAGTGCACAGTATGAGGCAGTGGTGTGAGTGTACAGTAGTGTGAGTGTTGTGAGTTTGCAGTGTGAGGCAGTGGTGTGAACGTGCAGTGGTGTGAGTGTTGTGAGCACACACTGTGAGGCAGTGGTATGAGTGTGCCGTGGTGCAAGTGGTGTGTGTGTGCAGTGTGAGGCAGTGGTGTTAATGTGCAGTGGTATGAGTTGTGAGTGCACAGTGTAAGGCAGTGGTGTGAGTGTGCAGTGGTGTGAGTGTGCAGTGTGAGCCAGTGGTGTGAGTGTGCAGTGGTGTGAGTGTGCAGTGGTGTGAGTGTGCAGTGTGAGGCAGCAGTGTGAGTGTGCAGTGGTGTGAGTGTGCAGTGCACAGTGTGAGGCAGTGGTGTGAGTGTGCAGGGGTGTCAGTGGTGTGAGTGTACAGTGCATAGTGTGAGGCAGTGGTTTGAGTGTGCAGGCCAGGGCCCCTTTCCTCTGGGTGTTCTCTCCTTTACCCAAGCACTGCTGCCTGAAGTGATGGGACACACTGAGGAAGTGGAGCCCATGGATATGCACAAGAAAGCAGGCGGGGGGCTCAGAGGCACTTCTCATGCATCATTAAGCAATGCATCATGAGTGGCTGTCATCAGACTCTGTGACTTAGGCTCACGATGCCCCTGTGGTTTGAGAGGACTTTAGGCAGAGTGTGAAAAGCATGTAGAATGGGAACTGAAGGTTCTATTCCCAGGACCCTCGTCTGTGAGATATTGGGCAAGTCAGTTTGATGCTCAGGACCTCTGTTTCTTCATCAATAAAATGAAGGTGGTGGATGGCATGTTTCCATTCCTCTCAAGCCCTGACGTTTAATTCTGTAGTCATTGCTGTTTTTCTTGAAGTGTACCTCTGGGTCAAGAGACCAAAAACAAGAAAATACGCATTTGCTCCTTCACACCTTCATGGTTTACAGAGATTTAAACACATAGTGACTCTACTTTTAATCAAGGGATATTGGCACAGACACATTTTCCCAAGTTATGAGAGCAGCTGTAAGACCCGTGGTGGAACAACCCGTAAGCATTTTTCAAAGCCATTTTGTTCTCCTTTGCAAAAGAGCCCTAGAAGTAAAAACAATCAATGCATCAGTGTTTATTTCTTACCCAACTCGTTTCTGTTATTTTATCTTTAGCTGATCTGACAAATAGTTGTTCCCCTAGAAGTAAAAACAATCAATGCATCAGTGTTTATTTCTTACCCAACTCGTTTCTGTTATTTTATCTTTAGCTGATCTGACAAATAGTTGTTCCCTAAAGAACCAATATGTAGGGCCAGGGCCAGTGTCTCACGACTGTAATCCCAGTACTTTGGGAGGCCGAGGCAGGTGGATCAGTTGAGCCCAGGAGTTTGAGACCAGCCTGGGCAATATGGCAAAACCCTGTGTCTACGAAAAAATACAAAAAATTAGCCTGGCATGGTGGCACGTGCCTGTAGTCCCAGCTACTCAGTGGCTAAGGTGGGAGAATCACCTGAGCCCCAGAGGTTGAGGCTGCAGTGAGCTGTAATTGCACCACTGCACTCCAGCCTCAGCACTGGAGTGAGATCCTGTCGCAAACACAGGAAAAAAAAAAAAAGAACCAATATGTGGATGTTGATCAAAACTCCTGTCACTTATTCTTAATTGAATGATCAAACTAAGGTCTTTCTTAGACCTTCATTCAAAACCCACCACTCGGCTGGGCACAGTGGCTCACACCTGTAATCCCAGCATTTTGGGAGGCCGAGATGGACGGATCACCTGAGGTCAAGAGTTCAAGACCAGGCTGGCCAACATGGCAAAACCCTGTCTCTACTAAAAATACAAAAATTAGCTGGGCATGGTGGCCCATGCCTGTAATCCCAGCTACTTGGGAGGCTGAGGCAGGAGAATCGCTTGAACCCAGGAGGTGGAGGTTGCAGCAAGCTGAGATCATGCAACTGCACTCCAGCCTGGGCCATAGGCTGGCCCACTCTGTCTCAAAAGAAACCAACCAACCAAACAAAAACAAAAAACAAAATCCACCCCTCTGTTCCTTAATATTAGGATCTTTCTCCAGATTTTCTTGAAGATCCCATGGGTAAAGGAGATACTCTGATTTATAAAAGTGTTTTAGCCACAAAAGATTCCACTGATTCTGCTCTAGAAAAGTGATCAGAGGATATGCAAGCCTGGCACCACACCCACGTTAGGACCAAAGCAATGGATACCGTCTCCCTTGCCCCCACCTTAGAGGAAGAAGCAGGTGTGTAAGGACCTCACTCTGTAGAATCATGAAGGTAAGGGGCCAGTCCCCTTTTACTCCCATTTTATAATAGAACAAGTAAGGATCAAAAAGGTTATATGACTTCCAAGGCCCCACGGCTGAGCCAGGAATTTTATTTATTTATTTATTTTTATTTCTATTATATTATTTTTTTAATCTGAGATGGAGTTTTGCTCTTGTTGGCCAGGCTGGAGTGCAATGGTGCACTCACACACGACCTCCACCTCCAGGGTTTCAAGCGGTTCTCCTGCCTCAGCCTCCCGAGTAGCTGGGATTACAGGCATGTGCCACCACGCCCGGCTAATTTTGTATTTTTAATAGAGACAGGGTTTCTCCATGTTGGTCAAGCTGGTCTCAAACTCCCGACCTCAGGTGATCCCCCTGCCTCGGCCTCCCAAAGTGTTGGGATTATAGGCGTGAGCCACCGCGCCCGGCCGAGCCAGGGATTAAACTGTGTCACATCGATTTAGTGACTCCAAGTCCAGGACTCTTCCTGGCCTGAGTATGAAATCATTTATCATAGTCACTTCTCAATAGCTTCTCCTCCCCATTAGGTAAATACCCTTTAAACACTGAGGTCCTGTCACACACAGAGTTGATGTCATTGGCTCTGGAACTCTTCTTGTTCATGGTCCCAGAGGAGCTGAATGTTGCAGATAGCAGGGCCCTGCCGTGGGTTGTTAAACCATTTACTCTCAAGGTCCTTGCAAAGCTTAAAAGCCAAACATGTCAAGCACACCTGTTTGGGTTTTATTTCAAGCATAAATTGGGGATGTTGTTTGTCTTCGCATGCATGTTTCCCATTAGTAAGATGATGCGAGTTTCCAGCTATGCCTATTAAACACACGCAGGAGTCCTGGTAGAGTCTGGGGCAAGGTCAGTGTGGGCTGGCTGTGTGAGGGGGAGGGAGAGGGCCTTTGTAATTGTGAGCAGACCAGGGGTGTGAGCTAAACTTCTTACCGGAGGTGTAAGCTAAACTTCCCGCAGACTCAAACTTTCTCCAGTTAAGTGCCTTGTTACTGGTTACTAGGCTGTCCTCCCAGTCCTTTTCACTCCCAGAGGGGGGCTGATCGCACAAGTACAAAGTATATTGCTGCATTCCTAACCCCACCAGCTCTGAGCCCTTCAGGAATAAATCACACGGCAAACTGGAGGGAGCTGAAGGGACAGAGGCCAAAGCTGGCTTTCCTTGTGTAAGGGAGGAACTCTTGCTGGCCAGGGAACCTCTTGGAATTGGTCTCTTTTGGGGTTTCAGAGGCAAAGCTTGAACACCATCAGTCAAGAGTGGTTCCGCGTCTCCAGCCGGAAGTCGTCTAGCCCTGCTGTGGTGGCCTCCTACCTCTGCGAGGTCCAGCCTCACTCCCCACACTTCCTGAAGCTACTTGTCAACTTGGCCGATCGCAACGGAAACACAGCCCTTCACTACAGCGTGTCCCACTCCAACTTCTCCATCGCGAAGCTGCTGCTGGAGACAGGTCAGAAGTGGTTGCATTTATACAGTCTGGGTCCGTCCTTGAAGGACTTGGCAATTTTTAAAATTTTTTTCAAAAATTTCAATAGCTTTGGAAATACAAGTGGTTTTTGGTTACGTGGATGAATTGTACAGTGGTGAAGTCTGGTCTTGTAGTATACCTATCACCCAAATAGTGTACGTGGTACCCCATAGGTAGCTTTTCCTCACTGTCTTCTGCCCTCCCCTCTTCTGACTCTCTGGTATAATTGTCCTTTATGCCACTCTGTATGTCTTCATGTACCTGTGGCTTAGCTCCAACTTATAATGAGAACACGCAGTATTTGGTTTTCCATTCTTGAGTTACTTCACTTAGGATAATGGCCTCCAGTTCCATCCAGGTTGCTGCAAAAGACATTGTTTTGTTCTTTTTTGTGGCTGAGTAGTATTCCATGGAATGTATGTATGTGTGTGCATATATGTACATATAACATTTTATTATATGTATATGTATGTATATATTATATATTTTATATATATGTATATATAACATTTTCTTTATCCACTCATCAGTTGATGGGCATTTAGGTTGATTCCATGTCTTTGCAATTGTGAATTGTGCTGTGATAGCATACAAACGCGGGTGTCTTTTTGATAGAATGACTTGAAGGGCAATTCTTGTACACATTTCTTTCTGGTGAGGAAATGCATCATTGTCGAAAGTTCCCTCTGGGCTGGCTGGGAGCGGTGGCTCACGCCTGTAATCCCAGCACTTTGGGAGGCCGAGGCGGGCAGATCACGAGGTCAGGAGATTGAGACCATCCTGGCTAACAGGGTGAGACCCCGTCTCTACTAAAAATACAAAAATTAGCTGGGCATGGTGGCGGGCGCCTGTAGTCCCAGCTACTCGGGAGGCTGAGGCAGGAGAATGGCGTGAACCCGGGAGGCGGAGCTTGTAGTGAGCCGAGATCACGCCACTGCACTCCAGCCTGGGCGACAGAGCAAGGCTCTGTCTCAAAAAAAAAAAAAAAACAAAAAAAGAGAAAGTTCCTTCTGTGTTCCAGAAACTGGACCAGACCATTTTGCCTCTGTTTGCCTCATTTGTTCTTCACAGCATTCCTGTGATGTGGGTATTGTTCTCATGTTACAGCTAAGGAAACTCAGGCTCAAGAGTTATAAAACTTGCTCGGGTTACAGCACTGGTCAAGGGTAGAGTCAGGTTTTGTACTCAGTTTGTCCACCTCCACAGCTATAACCGTACTGCCTCTGGGGAAAATGGCATTTTCCCATCTTCAGAAGATACTTTTTAACAAAGGTCGTGGCTCCATTTGACCAATTTGACTCAACTTGATTCATTCATCTTTCATCAGATATTTATTGACTACACATGAGGTCCATACTGGCTACTACCAGGGATGCAAAGGTGAGCCAGGTTAGCCCTCTGCTTCCTGGGAGCTAACAGTCTAGCAATTGGGATGGAGCTGGATGGTGGCTCATGAAACAGAGATAGAGAAAGTGATTTAGGAACTGAAATGAGAGCGTGTCTAGTGCAGGGAGTGGCAAAGGTGCACTGGAGCAGGCAGGACTCCAGCAGGCAGTGTTCCAGGCAGAAAGAACTCCATGGAGGTTAGATAGGGAAAATGCCTGAAGACCAGAAAGCTTGTAGTTTGGATGGGATGGGAATTAAGGTTGGAAGGGTGAGTTGGAGCCATCACATGGAGAAATGGAGGACCTGGAATGCCAGGCTGAACCCTGCTTGGAAGGTCCCAGGAAGTCAGTGCAGGTTTTTTTGTAGGAAACTCCATAACCAGGGTAATTCTCTAAAAGAGTCATTTGACAGTAGGGGTGGGTTAGTGAAGGGAGCAGGAGAGGAGGTGGCAGGGCAGACAGGAGGCCATTACAGAGGTCCACAGAGAGGTAGTGAGGGCTTATAATAGGTGAGGATGGTAGGAACTGAATAGCAAAAAGCCATTGGGAGGTCAGGCATTGTGGCTCATGCCTGTAATCCCAGCATTTTGGGAAGCCGAGATGGGCAGATCACTTGAGGTCAGGAGTTCAAGACCAGCCTGGTCAACATGGCAAAACCTTGTCTCTACTAAAAACACATAAAAAAATTAGCCGGGCATGGTGGCGTGCACCTGTAATCTCAGCTACTATGGATGCTGAGGCAGGAGAATTGCTTGAACCCAGGAGGCGGAGGTTGCAGTGAGCCGAGTTCACACCACTGCACTCCAGCCTCCAGAGCAACAAAGCTCCAGCAACAGAGCAAAACTCTATCTCAAAAGATTAAAAAAAAAAAAAAAAGACTGGGCACGGTGGCTCATGCATGCAATCCCAACACTTTGGGAGGCTGAGGCAGGTAGATCATTTGAGGTTCAAGACCAGCCTGGCCAACATGGTGAAACCCTGTCTCTATTAAAAATACAAAAATTCGTTGGGTGGTAGTGACGCATGCCTGTAATCCCAGCTACTCAGGAGGCCAAGGCAGGAGAATCGCTTGAGCCTGGGGTGGGTGGAGGTTTTGGTGAGCTGAGATAGTGACACCGCACTCCAGTATGGGTGACAGAGTGAGACCTGTCTCAAAAAAAAAAAAAAAAGTCATTGGGAAAGTAGTGCCCGACTGGTGAGGTGAGTTGGAGCTCTCTGTCAAGCCTAGATGGTTAAGAAGACAGTGGGCTGCAGGAGGAGAAGGACTAAATGTGGAGGAAGCAGAAAGGATAATTCAGTTTGGGGCAGATTTTTAGTTTCTGGAGATGTACAGAGGCTATTGAGAATTCCAGATGCAAAATGAAAAGGCAACAGAGCTTTGGGTGGGGCCGGCCAGAGCACGTGCAATGAGGCCTTTAGGAGAGGAGGCCTCTCTTGCTCTTGGTTATCCTGTGCAGAGAGAGAGAGAGCACGCCAGTGGAGGAGACGTAGGCAGAGTCGTGTGATAACTAGAAGAAATAAGAGGATTGTGGCTGATGGGGAAGGACAGCCCATGAAAAACAAAGAGTGTCAACTGCGTCAGATTCTGCAGGGTCCCTGAAGGATGATGCCTGGGTTTGGCAGATGGAGGGGACGGGGGGTGCCACTGGTGACTTTGGAGACAGCTGCTTTGGGGCATGTTGGGAGGAAACCAGCTAGAAGAGGGGAAGGAGCAAAGCGCCAGGCTTGGGGAAGGCAGTGATGGAGTGTCTTGGCTGAAGGAGGCAGGAGAGCCTACGGAGAGTTGGTTTTGTGTTTGTCTGGGGAGAGGAGATCTGAACATATTTTTTGACTGAGAAGAAGAATCCAAGAAAGAAGAGGAACAGGTAAGGTGGGGAACAGAGACAGAGAATGAGAGACAGACAAAGAGAGAGATGGAGAGGAAGAGAATGAGAGACAGAGACAGACAGAAAAAGAAAGAGAGAGAGACAGGGAGAGAAAAAGGAAGAGAGATAGAGACTGACAGAGAATCAGAGACAGAGAAAGAGAGAGGTGAAAGATACAAAAGAGAGAAGCCACTTGGTGAAGCAAGGTCTGGGAGGAGCTGGGAAAGCCTGGGCCCCACAGCAGAGGCAGGTGAGGGCGGCCGAGGTAAGACGCTGGCCATTCATTTCTCTGAGATGGAAGCGAAAAAAGGAGAAAGTGGGTAACAGTGCAGAGAGATGTTGAGGAGAGCAGGGAGGTGGAGGCCACCGGCCTCAGATGGCCTCAATCTTCTCAGGAAAGTGAGAGTAGGATCAGGGTTACAGATTGGAAAGGGGTAGTTAACAGTCAACCAAAGACAGGTGCGTGATGGGGCTGAGCTAAAGTGCATGGGCCTCGGTCAAATGTTATCTATGAGTTTAGGAGGCTGTATGGGGCTGTCTAGGAGAGTCCGTACGAGAGGTATAAATCCCCAAGTGATCCCCACAGGGGATGTGGCCTTCTGCTAAGTATTTAGCATCTGCTAAATATAATTTAAATGTATTATGAATTATATTATATTTATAAATTATGTTATAAATTATATTGTATTTATAATTATAAATATAAGTTATAGAATAATGAATATAATTATTTCATTTAATAATAAAATTTTATTGTTAGAATAGGATGATTATCCCTCTTTATAGACCATGAAAGTGACATTCAGAAAAGTCAGCAAACTTACCCTAGATCACCCAATAACTAAGTGTGCCACTAGGATTTAAAGTCAATACTGGGCCAGGGGAGGTGGCTCATGCCTATAATCCCAGCACTTTGGGAGGCTGAGGCAGGGGGATCACTTAAGCTCAGAGGTTCAAGACCAGCCTGAGCAACAGGGTGAAACCCCATCTCTACCTACGAAGATTAGCCAGATGTGGTGGTACACGCCTGTGGTCCCAGCTATCAGGAGCTGAGGTGGAGGATCGCTTGAACCCAGGGAAGTTGAGGCTGCAGTGAGCGGTGATCGACCACTGCACTCCAATTGTGGGTGACAGAGTGAGACCTAAAAAAAAAAAAAAAAAAAGAAGAAGAAAAAGAAAAGTTGGTCCCGTTGCTCTTTTCATTTCTGACATCTAGGAGGTAGAGCATAACTCTTCCTTTAGGAGGCCTGAGGTAGGAATTTAAATGAACATCAAAAGTCTGAATTTAGGACCCAATGGCTTTCCACAACTTGGGTCCTGTCTGGCTAAAATCCCTCCTGTGGCTTCCTATTGCTCTTAGCGTGAGAGACGGCTTCTTCAACCTGGCCTTCAGGACCCTGCCTGCCCTGGCTCCCACCTGCTTGGGCCGTCTCTGCTGCTGCCATGCTCTCCTCCTTCCCTCCACTGTAGCCACACTGGCCTCACTCACCAAGGTCATTCCCTCCTGGGATTTTTGTATTTGCCTTCTACCTGGACTCTTCCCCCTGAGGCTCTTCTTGTGACTGCCTCCTTCTCGTCATTCAAGTCACAGTCCAAATGTCACCTCCTCAGAAGTCTTCCTGGTGCCTCTGTCTAAAGTGGCTGCCCCCACCTCTCTCTAGGGGGGCACCCTCTTTCTTTCTTGAGACACTCTTTGCTTTTCATTTCTACTCAACAGAATGTTCATTCACTC